GCCCGGCCTGCCTGACACCCACGCGGGCCGCGGCGGGGCGCGGGCCAGCTGGCACCCGAGCCGTCTGCAAGGGGGGCCCCCACCCAGCCCGAGGACCCGGCCGCGCACGGGTTAATTGAGCAGAGACGGAGGGAGCAGGCTTCAGCCAATCGGCAGTCGGCGGGCGAGACAGTAGCCAATGGGAAGGACGGAGGCCCGACGCTGGGGGCCAACCCCCAGGGGCGCGCGGGAACCCGCACCCCTAGGTGCCAGCGGGGGCTGGGTGCGGCCCTCACCAGGTGCCCGTCCAGGCCTACACAGGCCCTAGAGCACCTTGATTCCTCGGCTACTTCTCAAGAAACAGGCTCAGAGTAAGGTAGCATCTTGCACTCAGGAGGCGGCAGGACCGGGATTTGAACCCCAAATTGTCTGGCTTCACAATCAGCTTTTTCACCCCAAGGGGGTGACAGGGGTTCCCTGCCCGGGCCTTGTGGGGAGCGGGAACAGGGGACAAGGTGGGGGTGGAGGAGTCGGCGACGCGGGCTAGGGTCCAGCCGCCTGCGGTGCAGCCGCTGCCGCCGGTGGTAATGGGAGCCAGACGCCGTCGCCGCCGCTAATGCGCCTCCCTCCCGGCCACTAATGGAGCCATTAATGCCCGGCGCCGGGGGCTCCGGGACGCACCCACTCCTCTGCCGCGCATGCGCGCCAACACCGCCCCGCCGCCGGCTGCCGCCAGGAGGCAGACTGACCTCGCAGCGCGTGGTGCTGGGGACTGCCAAGCTGTGGTCTCCAAGAAGTCACCAAGACTCACTCTTGCAGCCTCACAAGCTCTCCTTCTCGTCCTCTCCTCCACTCATCCTCTTCGTCCCAGCCTAGGCCTTCTTCCTCTCCAGGGCAGTCTCCAGGGTTCTTTGACGCCCAGATCCAACCTTTTCTCTCCCCTGTTCTAATTCTTGGTTCTTTAAGGGCCCTAGAATAGAGCGCCAGCTTTTTTTTTTTTTTTTTTTTTTTTTAGTAGGAGTCTCACTCTGTTGCCC